ATTTTAGGCGATGTGTATAGGAGATAGATAAGGAACCAATTGACGATAAGTATTCTTATGAAATCATGTTCTCGGCGACCTAAATTTCGACAAGTCGCAATTCTTGATAAAGCTTTCCCATCCATCAAAATTGAATATCCGGGCAGGCATTTACGACAAGGGAAAACTTTTATAGTCACTCTCAGGCTCAAAGGATCGATATATTGTTTTTATCAGCATTTCCTGCCATACCATGCATTCCACCACGGAAGAGCATTACAGCACTTCGTCATGTTGGGAAACGCTGCGCTAAAATTATCACCAAAGGTCTTCCGTATATACGCACACACATAAACCGCTTGTTGGTTGCCCTGTGGTGTGCTTCTTTCGTCACCATTGGCTGCATTACATGATATAGCTATCTATACAGGGTGACTTCGAAGTTGAGTCATTTATTTTAACAGTGAGTAGATCTGATCAAAAGAAATGTTTTTTCCTTTACCATTTTTCTGGTAAAATTAAAGTAACAAAGTTATAGCCCTTTGGAAGTTTGAGTACCGCCCTGTCTCAATAATAATATTATGTGCTCGTGTCTGGCAACAACGGATATAATCCGCCTGATCGGTTCATCGCATCGGAAACAAAAAAGCGAAAGAATTTGGAACGATGTTTTTACAATTATTTTATTCAGTTGTATACAGTCAGTGTCAGTCGGTAACGCGTGAGTGAATAGTGGTGTCTGTTGCGTGGCTCAAACGAAATAAAAAATGGCACATGTTTATGCGGATCGGTTTCCCAATCGAGTGCAAACAACCCCTCGTGCCTTTGTTAATGTAGTACAACGGGCTCGTGAATCAGGTGACTTAAGACCTCACAGGGGACGGCATGCCGGTGCTCCAAGATCTCACGATCAAATACAGGTCCGCAAAATACTTGTCGGGAGGATACTTTATAAAACAAGGTAATATTTTGTTTTTAATTTTTTTTTTATTTTTACACACATATTTTGGTTTATCTTCCTTCGACAATCATTATCTGAAAATTAATGACTCAACTTCAAAGTCACCCTGTATATTATTTTTCCCTAATATCTACTAATCATTCATAGTTTCTGTTCTCTCTAGTTAAGGTGCCTTTCTCTTTTTTTGTTATTTTTTGTTTAAATTTATGGCACACAGACTGTGTAAATTAAACCATTGCTCTCTATATGCTATATACAGGGTGTTTCAGTTTATTGTTGCATAACTTTAAGATTCGATAGAACTTTTAAAATTAATGTATAAAGTCTATATAAACATGGGTCGAAAAATGCGTGGCTTCCGAAATACAGGGTGTTCAAATTTACTTTCTCAAATAGTTTTTTTTTTAAATATTTCGAACAATATTTGATGTATAACAGTGAAAATTGGTATACGAGGGTTTTTTTGGTACGACAAAACGAACCATGTGTATAGTTTTACTGTAGCCGCTAGAGGGCGCTCTCTACTGTACCTGTAGTGTATTAAAATGACCGAAAAATTTTTCTTAGTGCAATTTTGTGCTTTTTGAATAAAATAACTGATTCTTCGCACTTTTCTGCATAAAAAAGCTCTCCTGTGAGTTTTCGTTATAGTTAGCCGTTTTTGAGATATTTCGATTTTTAAGGTTCGATGCATTTTTAATTATTTATGGGAAAATAATATTTTTTTTTAAATTTTCGATTTGGGCATTACAAATAATTAAGATGATCGTTTAGATTGTGTTTTTAAACACAGCAATAATTCCAAATAAACACAAAAAAACAGAATATTAATTTGTTTAATTTTCCAATATTGTTTTTAACAAATTAAATTAATTATTTACAATTAAAATGCTATTGGATAGTTAGGACAAACATACAAAATCTAAAGTAGTTGCTCGAAATGTAAACCCAATTGTTCAATAGACAATTCACATCTACGAATGATCGAACGTGGTATAGCATTATCCAAATAAGGCCTTATTTCATCACATGCATGCCTGATTCTGTCTATTAGCATATCTCTTGTGGTTACCGGAGTCTGGTACACTTTTTCTTTTAGAAATCCCCACACGAAGAAATCTGATGGATTTAGGTCAGGGGATCGTGGAGGCCAGGCAACTGGTCCTCCACGGCCGATCCATCTTTCTCGAATAATGAGCTGGACAACCATCAAGCTGGAACCAGGTCAATCTTCTTAAATCTAACATAACATCATCCCACATATTTGTATGTTCAGCCTTTAAAAATTCCAAGAAGGTCGCAGCATTTAACCTTGCAGGCAAAAGGTAGGGTCCAAATAGTAGATTACGGTAGATACCAATCCACACGTTCACACTAAATTCATGCTGAAAATTTCTTTCCCGAACTGCATGCGGATTTTCATGCGACCAAATATGTTGATTATGAAAATTTACCACTCCACGTCTAGTGAAACATGACACATCGGTCCATAAAACGTTACTTAAAAACTCCCTGTTATTATCAGTTCTAACAAGAATCCACTGACAAAATGTGGTTCTTCGTTCTCCGTCCCCTGGCTGTAGTCCTTGCACAGGTTGCAAATGGTAAGGACGTATATGGTTATTTCTAAGAACACGGTGAACATGGCTTGCTGAAACTCCCAAGGCACCAGAAACTCTCCTAACACTTGTGGTCGGATCTCTATCAAACTCACGCAGAATCATACGGGTAAATCTGCGCTGTCGAACATTTATGTTTCGATCCCTTTGGAGATTTCCAAAACCATTTTCCATTATTTGGCGATGCACTCTTACAAATATTGAGCGAGTTGGATGTCGTCTGTTTGGAAATCTTCGTGCGTATTTTCTGGCTGCTTCTGCTGCGTTGCCATTTACAAAGCCATACACAAAATGAATATCCGCTAACTCTTGATTGGAGAATAAAAACTGCATTTTTATACAACTTACACAAAAAAACAGGTAAAAGAAACTAAATTTCGTGGATTCACAATTGCAAAAAAACGTTTCAGGTTTCAACAGACAACAAAACTAACTGTCAACTAATTGACGTTTAACCTTATTCTGCTTTCAATTTCAAAAATACGTATTTGGAGGCACAGCCTGCTTCTAAAAATTAACGAGATACTGACTTTTTAACGTTATTTTATCATAAATAATTAAAATTGCATCGAACCATAAAAATCGAAATATCTCAAAAACGGCTAACTATAACGAAAATTCACAAGAGAGCTTTTTTATGTTGAAAAGTGCGAAGAATCAGTTTTTTATTCAAAAAGCAAAAAATTGCACTAAGAAAAAATTTTCGGTCATTTTAATACACTACAGGTACAGTAGAGAGCGCCCTCTAGCGGCTACAGTAAAACTATGCCCATGGTTCGTTTTGTCGTACCAAAAAACCATTTTATACCAATTTTCACTATTATACATCAAAAATTGTTCGAAATATTTAAAAAAAACTATTTTAGAAAGTAAATTTAAGCACCCTGTATTTACGAAGCCACGCATTTTTCGACCCATGTTTATATAGACTTTATGCATTAATTTTAAAAGTTCTATCGAATCTTAAAGTTATGCAACAATAAATGCTTTTTTCTGTAACAGGAAAAAAGTTTGACATTTAATCTCCGTTGACAGGTAACAAAATGTCACTTTTTATGAAATTACTTTTTCCCCCCGAGAAAAAAGCAGTACTTTTTTATCTGATATATTGTATAAACGATTTAGCTGGAAATAATTTATGAGACGCTACTTTGGCTACTACTACTAACCCCGGTGGAGTCAAAGAAAACCCGAAATCAGACATTTTTTACTTTATAGTATTAAAAATACCCTAACCAACCACTAAGTTCACAATATTTAAATTAAATCACAAAATTAAATTGCCAGCTACTTAATTACTTTAAAAGTTTCCTAAGCAACTCAGGTTTAATTGTCGCTATAAGTACAACATAGCCTACTAATTTCAAAATTCAAATTTGACATCGATATTTTTCTGGCTTACTCGTAATAATATAATTTTTCAATATTAAATCGCCGTTTTTCTCGACACTGTCTATTATACACGGGAAGTACTTTCTTCCCTTATAATTATAATAATAATAATTAATATTATTATTATTATTACTATTATCATTATTATTATTATTATTTCACCCCTCTTGCTCACGTCTAAATACTTGGTAAAATTGTCAGCAGTAAGCCTTTCGGCGAGTGTCACTTTCGGTGGTCTCTGGTAGTCAACCTATCTACTGTATTCCAGTAGATGCTCAAGGGTATAAAATAAGGCGATGAACGATAAACGTGAAAACAGCCAACTCTCCTTGAAAGATTTCTAAGTACCACCAAGTACCTTATTGTTTTATTACAAGGGCAGTACGTAAACAATTCGATATGGGCAACAATTTCAGGATAATATGACAGCCGCTTACATGGTGATGGAATGACAACTAGTAGCAAGCGATAATGACGATGGGTATTGACCATCACATATTTTCAGAAAAAAAGACGTTTGTTACGAGAAGCAGTCTAGAAGCCAGGATATTACGTTGCCGTGTCAATATCCATCAGCTCCGACGTTATCACTGATTCAGATATAACCGAGCAACATGACTAAACTAACAATCCCTATACACTTTCTGCTATGCGATCCTTTCAGACTCCAGCGATTGCCAAGACGGGGAGCTAAGCCGTGATTCAGACCTAGGATGTCACGTCGCGTCGGTCAAAACGCGTCGTGTCAACATACAAAGCGCTCCGACATTTCCGCTGCTAGAGGAAACCGAGCAGTAACTAACATAACCTACACCCGGTAATCGCGCTCCGAAAGTCCCATAACAATCCCCAGAAACTAAATGTAAAGAGCACTGCATCTTTATAAACATGGATTAAGACATTCATCATCATACGTAAATATAAAAGTATTATGGTTAGAAATTCATGCGGTACAGTAGAACAAAGGAAATACTCAGTGATTGCTCACCTTTCAGGTAACCAAAACCCAAAAACCAATAGCATAATAACACTGTAATTAGGTACACAACATGAACTACTTGATTTTGGAAACGACCGTTATACCCATCTGCGGGTAAATGATGCCAGTGAACCCTGGGAACAAGTGTCCAGAGGAATGGAATGTATACACGTAAATAACATAAACAGGCCTAAAAGCGGACGTATTGAGTGAGATTAACCAGACTTGTAAACCTTCTGGAAAGATTTCGTGTGCTACAGGATTGAACTTGCATGCAAAATGTGTTTGAAATAGAAGGTATCCTAAGACAGGCATTAAACAATACCAAGTCATTGCGTTTACATTAGAAGTGCTGACATCTGCAAAGGTGTGTTTAGATTTATCGTGCAAGAAATGAGATCATCAACATTAAACAGAAACAACGTTTGAGCCTATACCACAATCCCCAAGGAACAACGGAGGTGAAAGCCAAAGATTTAAGATGCATAAGCCACAGTGTGGTGAAATAAATTGATGTTTATATCTTTTATCTACGCCCATGTTTGTGGTCGCATTTCTTTATCTGGAATTCTGCTGGCGTCTTCCGCGCACATTTTTTGCATGTACAGGATGCGGTAAGCGCTTATGATCGTGTGAGTATGCACTATGTATGTATATCTACGCCTCACACACATCCGGCCGACGACAACTAACAGGTTTATTAGATTACCGGGAAATTAGTAAGACTAGTATTATATTTCTCAGGGAAAATACAACAGATAGCAAATTCTGCAGTTTGTCATAGAATGCGTAACGAATATGGAGATAAAACCTGGAAACTCCTCGGACGAGGCTTGCAATGTCCGACCAGACTTTCTTTTATAACACCACATCTATACAATAATAGGTAAAGCATATAAAAATCGTGGATGAGTTATCAAAAATAGTAAACACTTTAATAACGCTAATATACTAAGTGACATATAAATCCGAACACCCAGTTTAAATGGTTATATTTTAATAAAATTTTGTATAAGTACTTTTTTTTTTTTTTTTTTTTTTTTTTTTTTTTTTTTTTTTTTTTGGCTTTAGGACCTAATCCATGCAGCCAGAAACTAGGTTGTTATATTTTACATTTCTAATTATGGACAAACACACGACGTCACAACATCCATGGCCAAGGCGAGATTCGAACTCGCGGCCCGGCCGTATAAGTACTTAATGAAGCATAATAAGTAAATGATAAAAATTTCAAAACGATTGCACTGCTTTAAAGCCCTTTGACCTTTAATAATGTGTGGATGCACCCTGATGTGCTACGCATTCTCCAACGCGCCTAGGCATGCTTCTGATCAGGTGGTCAATGTCCTCCTGTGGTATATCATTCCAGGCAACCACCAACTCCTCTCGAAGTGCTTCTAGAGTCTGAGGAGGACGTTGCAAATTGAGCAATCTCCTACCCATCATATCCCACACGTGCTCAATTGGGGGATAAGTCGGGAGATCTTGGTGGCCATGGTAACAATGTTGAAAGAAGTCTATTGTGACTCTTGCAACATGTGGTCGGGCATTATGTTGTTGGAAAGTTGGATCTGCCAGGGTGTCAAGATAGGGTAAAAGATGGGGTTCTAGAACTTCGTGGATATAACGCTGCGCGTTCATGTTACCTCTGATGAAGATTAAAGGTGACCTGGAATCATAAGCTATAGCACCCCAAACCATAACTCCAACAGTGTGATGAACATGTCTTTCAACAAAAAGCTGTGGATTCCTCCTTTCACCACGTCGCCTTCTAACCCTGGCACGACCATCGTGCATGCCTAAACAAAATCGAGACTCGTCACTAAAGACAATACTGTTCCATTCCTGATCCCAGAGTGACCGTTGTCTGCACCACTCAAGGCGATTACGTCGGTGTTCTCGAGTTAAAGGGAGGACCCAGTGTGGCCGGTATGAAAACAAGCCAAAACTTCTCATTCGTCGGTAAGCACTTCGCATGCCAATAGGTTTTCCGTGTTCTGCAAACCATTCATTTGCAATGGACCTGGTAGTGGAGAAACGGTCCCTTAAGGCCAATAATCTTATTCGGCAATCTTCACGGTCTGTTGTTCTACGGCGGCGTCCAGTGCCCCTTGCTCTTTGCGTACGGCCTTCTCGAAGGCATGCCTGACGACACCTAACCACAGTGTCTCTACACTTCTTTGCACTCTAACTGCAATTGCCCGAAAAGAAGGACCAGCTTCCTGAAGTCCCACTATACGGCCCCTATCAAACTCACTAAGTTGACGAAATCGTATAGGTCTCCGTACTCTAGGCATCGTAACCGATCGTAAAGGATGTCAAGAACCAAAATCCACCAACGTTGATTCTTTACTGCGGCTGAAATATTCATTTTTAGAGCGTTAGTGAATTAAAAAAAAAGCAGTATAAAAACCGGAATGTCCAACTGATTTTTTCACTTGTTATTTACAGTAAGATAAATACATTCACCAACTTTTATTAAAATAAAACCATTTAAACTGGGTGTTCGGATTTATATGTCACTTAGTATACTTAACTTTCTTTAATGCTTTTGTCAGTCTATTTAGACTATTATTCGACCTACGATATTGTAATAACAGTGTACCCTGAAAGGGGCATACGCAATGCCATACTTCTAAGAACGTACCATCTATCTAGTTTAGTCAAACGTCAAAATCTCTTGACTGCTAAATTTTTAAATAATTTGTTGGATGATACTATTGATTGTCCTTTTCATAGTAGTAACATTTCATTTCAATTACCTGTTCCGCGATCAAATTTACTTTCATTTTCGCCACTTTATGTTATGTGTAATATGTGTGTGAGGGTGTTAGTGAACTTGATGATTTCAGTTCCAGCAAAAACAATCTTAGAAGATGTTTTTCAACTGTTGCATAAGTGATTGTCTGTTTCCGATCACGTAGCGTCTACAGTTTTTTTTTTTGTATAAATTTGATTTTCCTCCGAGTTTCCGAATATCTCAACTCTAAGGGACTGAGACGCCTAGAAAGTGAAATAACTTTTCAACCTCCTCCCAGAGTCGAATCAGATAAGTTATTTTAGATAGATAACGACCCCGAGTGTAACAAAATTCTACTCCACATGTTTATCTACCAACGTATCAAACTTTTCCTACTGAAGGTCGGGGATTTCCGACCACTTCGCTGAGTATGCAACTTTACTAAAAAAACTCTATCGCTCCAAATATTAAAGCTCGCCTAAAAATATTTCAAAAAAATTTTATTTTTTTACAAGGGCAGTACGTAAACAATATATGGGTAAGTCATGTCACTATAATACATATAAAAACACAAAATTTCAAGTTGCCTTTGGAAAAAAGTCAAACTCGCATGCAAAATGTGTTTGAAATATTTCGTATGCTTACATGATGGAAGTATTTAGCAGGGTACAAACAATATAACTATCAACAATAGACAAAAGCCACCCTATCGAGTTATATAGTACATTACCCCATTTTACTCAAGGACAGCAGTGATACCAATCTCCTCACCCTGTCCCCGTCTGGCATGTGGCGAAGAATACAAAGGACCGTTTTAAGAGTATGAAACTCAGAAGAAAAAAGATATTTATTGTTGCCCCGAACCCCATGGCGAGGGATCAGGTAGAGAAATTCCTTTTGTGGTGGTGCGTCTGACCTGCTTCAATGGCGAATTATACGACAGAAGAAGATTGTGGATGATTAAGCACCACGTAAGGGCGCGCAGGGCAAAGAACTCACAAAGAATGGTTGAGTAATATTGTTACAAAGGTGGTAAGTGAACAGGTGAATTCTGAACGCTGGTTCTTACTACACCAGGAAGTGATCTTCGTAATGTTAATTTTATTAAAATAAAAAAAAATTAAGAAGATTAACCATTATTTAGCGTCAAAACGTACAACTCTATTACGTGATCAACAAGAAACTAAACTGTATCCATCGAAGAAACAAAGTAAAATCAAACATATACACCCGTATTGCACGTGATCAAGAACTTAACCGTAGGAGACGCTACAGGGCCGTATCAAGCTATTGTGACTGATCTATCAAAAAATGTCGTACAAGATATGTGTTGCTGTAAATTCTATCAAAAGCATAGTAAATTATCAGGAATATACCACGCCTTTCTAATCATATTTCGACATTAGGAATCAGTGCAAAAAATTCTGTATTCACCATTTCAACAAAATGTTACTAAAACGCACACGAAAAAAACTTGTGCACCATCTCAATTGAAATTGTTCATATTTTATTATTAACTTACATATACAGGGTGACTTCGAAGTTGAGTCATTTATTTTAACAGTGAGTAGATCTGATCAAAAGAAATGTTTTTTTCCTTTACCATTTTTCTGGTAAAATTAAAGTAACAAAGTTATAGCCCTTTGGAAGTTTGAGTACCGCCCTGCCTATTATATGCTCGTGTTTGGCGACAACGGATATAATCCGCCTGACCGGTTCATCGCATCGGAAACAAAAAAGCGAAAGAATTTGAAACGTTTATCACGATGTTTTTCGTCAGTCGATAAATCCTGAGTGAATAGTAGTGTGTTGCGTGGCTCAAACGAAATCAAAAATGGCACATGTTTACGAAAATGCTGAACTTGTGGACATGATTCTTATTTACGGGGGGGCAGTCTTTACAAAATGCTCCCGGATGCATCACGGATTTATGCGAATCGGTTTCCCAATCGAGTGCAACCAACCCCTCGTGCCTTTGTTAATGTAGTGCAAAGGGCTCGTGAATCAGGTGACTTAAGACCTCACAGGTGAGGGCATGCTGCTCCAAGACCGCACGATCAAATACAGGTCCGCACTGAAATACTTGTCGGGAGGATACTTTATTAAACAAGGTAACATTTTTTTTTATTTTTTTTTATTTTTACACACATATTTTGGTTTATCTTCCTTCTACAATCATTATCTGAAAATTAATGACTCAACTTCAAAGTCACCCTGTATACCCAATAATATTTACAAATCAACCTTCTATTCACAATGCAGAGCAAATTTTTTTGAGCAAATAGAAACTACAGACGTAGTAGTAGTAGTACAAAAGTTTATTACAGACTCCATAAAGTTTGATAGTTTGATTGCTATTAAAATTTACATGAGA